AACATGTTTTATGAGTTTTTGAAGTATTCCGAGTTCTGAGTTTTTTGAAGTACAGAGTGAAGTACCGAGTTTATGAGTTTTTGAAGTATTGAGTTATGATGTTATGTTGCTGTTTATCGATCCTGATGGTCACACGGGAATGTGTGACCAGAAGGGGGAATGTGAGATTTCATAACACTTTGAAGCAACTTTTGTTAAGGTTAAACTCATCATTCTATCAATGTGCAGAAGCCAGTACTTTTCCCTTGTTTTGTCTATCTGAAGGCCAAGCTACATGGCACCGTGGCAGCTGCTGATTGGAGGTCTCCATGCCTCCGCTCTGTATAATACACTTGCATTCTATTGTATCTGTGATTGTGTGCTTTGATCGTGCTGTCTCTACCATCGACAATAAAACATGTCTTCTGTCTGAATTTAAGACGCGATCCCAGACTATGTCATCTTCTTCATCAGTAAAATCCCTCATGCGTCTGCCAAATTTAGGGTTAGGGTTAGGTGAATGAAAAATATACTGTATAGATACAACATTCAATTCCACCTCAATAGCTTTCTGTGTGGAGTTTTGCATGTTCTTCCCGTGTCTAAATAAGTTTCCTCCGGGTGCTCCAGTTTCCCCTATAACTAAAAACAGGAACAAAAAAGGTCCCCTGTAACATCCTTCTCCTGTTGTATAGAGTGAATGTGAAGCGTCTATGAGTGTCCAAAAAAGCGCTTTTTAAAACCGAATAATAATTATTAATAATGAATAAAGATCAATACATAAATTAATACAATTAAAAGACAATACATCAATTAGATCAAGTAGATTTGCTTTTTTCTCACAATCATGAAGCTATACCCTCCCTTATAAAAGCCTGATGGTATTATGCAAGTTGCAAAAATCCAACTCAAACCTCATTTAATAACGGCTTTGAACCTCGGATGAGATTAGTCTAAAATGTTGCGTCTCCCTCAAGGTAATTATTAGAAATGACTATCGCCCGACGTTGAGTTGTGATTTTCTTCATGCACAGTCTTTTTTACGGCGTGCTGTTTGATAGCGTGCCGAGATAGAGTTGACAAAGCAATATCCACATGACAATAAGACGTAATATATTCCCGGGGCTCGTAATAGTTGTTGAAGTTTGGCAAGCCGCTAAAACACACGATTGGAAAGCACTATGAATTTTCTTTTAACGAAACCTGTGCTTGTTCGAATTACAGCGTCGTACTGTAGTAATTTTGTGGTGCTTTGTCAAGAAGTGTTGTCCAATTCTACTCCAGGGCCTGACATTCACTTCCCTCTAAGTTGTTTTGTGTCGAGGTGAAGGAGTTTTCAAAGCAACACTTCAAACTCTCAAAGAAAAATACAGGTTCTTTTGAAATTCCCAGTTTCGAACTTGATATTTTTACTCATTCAAGATGTTCCTTCAATATACAACGCACTGTTCTTGTATTTTTCGGTTTGCAGGGACTAAACAGAAACAGAAAGGCTTATACAAAAACACAAACTTTCATCTTTCCTGTACATTTTTGGAAAGGGCATTTCAAGTTTTCTACAACATTTCTCTGTTTCGCAAGACTTGCTTTGTATTTTGTGAGCTAACCTCAGACTCCAAAATATACATCATCAGTAAATTCACTCACGCGTTGGCCATATTTAGAAAAGAAATTAAAATATATGTAGTTATGCATGAAAAATATATAGATAGAATCATTGGGCAAGATTCTTGGTTCAATTCCAACTCAAACCCTTTCTGTATGGATGTAATGTATCTTTGTGCCGCAATTTTGGAAACCGTATACAGCATGTGCTATACAAATAAAAAATAATTGGATTGGTTAATAAAATATCAACAGTATTCTAAGGAAAAACTTCACTCCAACAGACAATGCTCATTTATGCTGATGTTATGCACCTTATACAACTCACCACCCCCCAAAAGCCAAAGAATTATAATAATAATGCATTGGTTTTATATAGCGCTTTTCTGGACACTCAAAGACGCTTTACATGTCATTATTCTTTCATACTCGGTGGTGATTAACTACTACTGTAGCCACAGCTGCCCTGGGGCACAGTGACTGACAGAAGCGAGGCAACCAGTCTGTGCCATCGGCCCCTCCGACCACCACCAACCATTCACACACACACCAGACTCATTCTAGGCAATGGGGGTGAAGTGTCTTGCCTAAGGACACAACCACAGCAGACAGTGGGAGTCGATGGTGAAGGTCGGGCTCGAACCCATGACCTTCAGGCTCAAAGGCCAATGCTCTACCAACTGAGCTACTGTCACACATTATGGGTAATGTGTAGGTAGAAAATTCTAAGTTCAAGTTATTAAACTGTTTTATTCACACTAGAGACACGCTCAGTCAACACAGGCAATGTGATTATTTGTGTTAATTTTTGCCAACATCTCTCTCCTTTGCTTTCTTTCAGTGGACGTTCACGAGTATAAGTAGAAACAGGAACAAAAGAAGTTATTTCAAAAGCTGTTGCAATTGGGTTCACTTAATTCATGATTATATTTAATGCGGCACTTTGAAAGATTACGCTTATTAAAAATCAAACTTACAATAACACTCTTTGTTCGCGGCCTTCGCACCCCTGCAGTTCTGCACATTCTCTACCTAACCGCTCGAAATCATGCTCAAGTTGAATATAGATATCTTGGTCATAATTGGCTGCAAAACACTTGTGGTCCGACTCTGGCACCCCCGTGGAGAGGTTATGCACGGGGTTAGCAGACATCGGCGCCGGGGTGAACAGCTGATACAATGAAGAGCATGGCCTCCTCGCTCACCAATGAACCATAACCCATTACCACTATTAATCCAGGGATTTTCAAGAAAAGTCCCTAAACTATGACTTTAACCGACTGACAAACCAGGCTGTTAAAACGGCTCAATTCCACTACAATAAATTCACGACAGCACGCTTGCCTAAATCCTGTATATGCTCTAATCCTGCCACAAAGAATATTTGGGACACAAGAGGATAGAACGCTTCCACTTTAGGCACATTTTCCACAGTTGAAATCTTTTTTTAGATTTGCTCAGCGGGGAAGCTATCAAAAAATGCTGATAGCTCATTAACATAACAATCACTTATATTATTACGAAATTCCAAAGCGGATCCCGGTGTGGAGACTCGGCAGCGGGCGCCTCAAGGTTTCCCCGTCACTCCCAGCGTATATCTACCGAAAATAGTAACGAAAATCTCTCGCATGCATCAGAAAAAGCAATTCCTTCTTTCATAGGAGCTCACAGCGGCAGACATGTGAGGCTGGGGTCATGTGGGATGCATTAAAATAACATAGGACCGTAGGGAAATTGGAAAGCGGATTGGAGACATCCCAGCTATACGGTAACGGTCCCAGCGCTGCAGTGAATGGCGCACATGTATATCGGCGCCAGGCCCTTCACTGACCTCCGTATTCTCCAGCTAATCACATTGTATGCGCCTATATAATTACCACACTCATTAGTGGAAGACTCCAGGGTTGTCTTTATTAACCGCGGTGAGGACTGTGTTACAGAACAGCCACATGTCTCTGTTGTGTCTATACTTAATTAATGGTACAAGAACGGACAAGACGCTAATATTGAGTCACCAAATAGCTGTTGGGAGAAATAGAACGGTTTGCTTGTCATAATAATAAGGCTGTTGTTGATGCATGGCTTTACAGTTGTTGTGTGTGTTATATATAGTCAGCTGTTCACACCATGGTCACAGTTGGAGTGTAGGGGCTTGACCTCCAGTGTTTTGGGGTTTCCTGGAATGAGCAGAACACGTTACTCAAGCTGCTGTTCTGTATTGAAACTAAAAGGACGTCATGTAAACACTATTCCACTGGGCGTGCAAAAGTGAAAATTCAGCACGTATTTTGAATGGGTGATTGTTTGGCAGTGGCTATAATCTCCAGGCTTACGGCTTGGCGAGAAAACTCTTGCAACTGCCATTAAATTCTAAAATTGATTACATACAAATTACAATCAATTTAAATCTTGGAGGAATACTGAGGATTCGCAGAGCTTAAGACTCCAAGACACAGGGTTTAAACGTTTAATGAGAGCTGGAAATTGCAAGTTGTGTGTGAAAACATTAAGATTAAGGTCAAGGAATGCTTTATTGAACTCCGTGGGGCAATTTGTCCTCTGCATTTGACCCATTCTGCAAAGTCATAGGGCCACTGTCAGGATTAGTGGTCGCCTCACTGCAGCGCCCAGGGACCCCGCTCCAGATGTTGATGCTTGGCTCGGTTTTTAGTAGAAAAAAACCAGAGCATCCGGAGGCACTCAGAAAGACTCTGTTCTGAGCAGGATTCAAGAGAAGAAGAGAAGAGAGACTGCTAACTACCACCATCCTGCTACTAATTTATAGTTAGTTATGTGTTGTGTTGATAAGTAGAAAATGCAGCCTGTGTTATGTTTTGTATTTTACCTGATTATACAATATGACCCAATAAAAATTAAATCATTGATTCGGTCACCACGAGCCTGTTATCGCAGCTGAAGTACAGTCTCAGCCTTTTCTCTAACATAAATCCTTAATTCCAGCCAAACATAGAGCGCTGTGCTTTTTTTCTAATATTGATTTTTTAATATTTTTTGCATGATATTGTTCAGGCCTAATTCAAAGATTGGGCTAGGAGCTCCTTTGAGGGATGTCTTCCTCTTGAAGAATAAGAGAAGGCGCCTGGGGAGCTGGAAGTGTGGGTATTTCTACTTATATTTCTCACATCAAACAAGAGAAAAAAATAGTCGACGGGATAATTCTACTATAAACTAGAGATATGTTCTGACCCAATAAACACCTGCCATCTCTTTTCTATGCAAATCTTTATGAGGTGTCCAATAAAAGTCAATGCCCACGTTCGCATTCCGCACATGCAAGGCGCCCCTCCGCTGCATCGCGCTTCTACGAAAGCGACACAACTCACTCAAACCCATTCAGGCGTGTCTCCACAGACTTTTCATTTAGTGTATATACGGCCTTCTTATACAGACAGACAATGCGCCACGCCTGCGGTTTGAGCGGCTTTGTTCTGTGCTACTGGGGGAATAATGGGGCTGAGAACGTCTCTGGGGACGGCTGGCTGCGAGACACGAGAGGAGGGGAGGAAATGAGATCTAAAGGGCTGGAGGTGGGTTAAGTAGCAGGTTAGTGGCTGGTCAAATGGTTGGCAGATGATGAGGAATGAACATGGTAAACTAGATTAAGAGGCCAAAGGGAGACGGCTGCGGGGGCATAGAGATACATGTGATGAAGATTGTGTGTCCATCTCTCAATGATGTGGGTCAAGGGTACACTGTGTAGGTTAAACTGGACAATTATGAAGAGAAAATATACACACTCAGACACCCCACATACAAACAAGGATCTTCCATATGTTAAAGCTGGGGTAATTCACTTTCAAATCACAAAACAAAAAGATACAAGAGTATAATTTGGTTCTATGAGTTTATGCACACATGTATTTCTTTCTCTTTCAGGTCTTTACACAGAAAAAAGTGAAAAAGTCATGCTCAGCCAATCAGCTCTCAGCCCAAAGTGTCATTAAGTGACTCTCAAGGTTCTCTCTTATATTGAAATTTAAACAATAATAATGCATTGATTTTATATAGCGCCTTTTGGACACTCAAAGTCGCTTCACATCTATTCCTTCACTCCATACACAGGGGTGATAAACTAATAATGTAGCCACATCTGCCCTGGGGCTCACTGACAGAAGCAAGGCTAACAGTATGTGCCATCGGCCCTTACGACTAAAAACCATTTACGCACACACCAGCCTACATTCAATCAATTCAATGTCAATAGAAGACTCTACAAGCAAAATCTATTATTATTAAGGGGGGAAAAGATAGGTACCCCAGCTTTAAGATGGTCAAAAACATAAATATGTCAAGGAGATTTCTGAGGCGTTTTAAAATATGATATATGACATTGTGTTTTAATCATAAAGGACATTGCAATTAGCTAATTGTGACCGTTCAGATAGAAATTAATTTTTTTGATTGGATTGCAGTCAGCGGTGAAGCCTTATTTGAAACATCCTTTTTGGGTAATGGCTTTTTTTTTTTTTTCAAAAGCACCGTATCCATTAATCAATCTGAACAGGCAAGACATGAGAGCCAAGTTTACTTTTTGAAGAGCACAAACGTGTTAGTCCCTCAGTAGCTGGAGTCACCGAAAAGAGGTCACGGCCTGTTTTAGAAATGTGCCAAAGTAAAGGTGTGCTCCAAAAACTAGGCAAAAAAAGAAAAAAAAAGTTGGAGGCAAATGGCAAAGTGGCGCGGCACACTCTGATGCTGAAACCGTGGTAGCAGCGGAGAGACGTGAGTGGTGCTGACAGATGAAGGTGGGGAAAGTGCGATTAGTGGAGATTTGGTGAAAGAGGCGCAGTGCCAAGCAGGTGCATGTTAATGAGAGGTGAAACCGACTCCGGAAATAGTCTTTTTTTCTATAGTTTGCATTTTTACATTTTTGACATAAACTGTGTCAGTGTCAAAACAAAAGAAAGTGATAAAACTAGAGCTGTAAAGATTATTTGCAACTAATACATTTTTTATTGGTCATGGATTAATCATTGACTGTAGTTTACATAGACCCCATCATATGTAATCTCCCCCGGTGGTTTTAGCTCAGCTCACTCAAACTGAGGAAAAATATCATACCGGCATCCTAAACTATTAATGGAAGGAAAGGAAAATCCCTCTGTCTCAAAAACGGTGTAAAACTGCTGACAAGTCACATGACCACCTGCTAGTCTAACTAAAGGAGCTAAATGAACCTCGTTAGACCAGCATTATGTTGTACTTTGGCAAATATTGACAATGGAATTACTCTTCACAATGCAAATGAAAATCCACGGCTTTTACAATAGGCAAGCAATGTAACAAGCCATTTCAGTCATAAAACTCAAGTCCAATCCATCTTAAAGTTTCTTCTAGGTCTTTCATTCATCGAAAACATTTGTATGGCCTCTCTTCTATACAAAAAAAAAAAAAAACCCACACTAGAGCATTGGTCATGGGGATCTGCGCTCACCAGTTTATTGTATTCCATATAACCTTGTGATTCAGGTTTTTTTTTTTCTTTTACAAAGCCTGAGTTATTTCAAGAGCTCTATTGAGAATCGACTCAGTTATTAAGACATGCACTCTCAAAAGCATGTCTTGATAGAGTTAACAACCTGTGTGTTGTCATCTATAGTTAACTGGTCATAGCACACACACACAATAACATTTGGTCTGCCTGTGTTGGCTAGCTCTGCCTAATTGAGTGACCTGCTGAGCTGCAGGCCGGCGGGTGTAGCTTTACCACCGCTAATGATCCAATCTCTTTTTGTATTAAACCCGAGAGCAGCCCGTGGCACCGCCTCCAAAACTCCTCATGCATGAAAACTCCTACATAGATCCTGAACCCTTTGGGAAATGCAAACTGAAAACGCCAAAAAGCAGTAGGAGGAACAGAATATTTTAAAACTAATAAATTACATTCGAAAGGAAGTCATACTAAACCTATTTCAATTAGGTGCATATGGTCATGAATTAAAATCATAATCACAAATCCTCCAATAAAAGGTAGTTGGCCTTGCATGGCAGTCGTGTTGTAGGTGACAAGGACAAAGACTTCATCAGATAAAAATAATGCCATAAAAATATGTTTTTAAAAATGTATTTTGGCTAATCAGCTAATTTACCTACTTCCTTCAGATACAATGTATCCTTATGCATGCTTCGTTATTAGAGATTTCCTACTTAATACTTTATTATTTATTTTATTTTATTTTGAAGTATAGAGTTATTGTTCATTTACGTTTGTATACATGGTGAATGCGTTGTTTTATTACTGATATTTTGTATAAATGTTTTCTGGTACATTTACGGTAACGTTAATTAATGTTCATTGTTCCTGTAAAATAAATGAATAAACATAAAAAAAACGTGTTGCATCATGTTGCTTAATTATACATCTACCGGTGATGCAACACTGAAATTTCCCAACTGTGGAACAAATATATAAGATCTCTTTATCTTATGGGTACAACAGCATGTACTATAGCCAGATAATGACAGGCTTAAAATCAAATATATCCTCTCCTGGTTCGAAGTGAAGTTCCGACCGCCAAACTCCCATAAAACAAAAAGCCAAGTATGTGTCCGCATTGAGCGTGTGACCTTGTGTGCTTTTACAGCCATTAAATCAATAGCCTCTAATGTAATGTGTACAGGGTCTTCCCAGATCGGGACGTGCCAGGCAGAGGCTCCTGGGGGAGAGTGTCTGCCATTGTTCCCGACTGGTCCGAGCACAAACTGAAGAAGATCTAATTTAATAAAGCTCTGCTGGGAAGGTGCACTATCCCCGTCTTCTTTTGTTCTGCTGCTTCTCCCTCGTCTGGCTCTTGCCGCCGCTCACACACTGTCGCCGCAGCAGTCTCAGTAATTAGTACTGTTACAGATCCTAAATGAATACATTGGTGACACGCCTGAGAGGAGATTGAATTAACAGCCAGCTTTTAGTAACATTAATAAGCCAATATAAATATGAATAAATACTAATTCGATCACAGATGTTGCAGGAGAAAAAAAAAACAGATTTTGAAGTTGCTATTGACAAGGAAGCTTTTGCAGAAGCTGTTGATATTGGAGGAGGTTCCGTGTGGAGCGTGAGGGAAGTCTTTAATTTGTTTCAGATGCGATTGCGAAGGAGAATCCTCGAGTTTTAATTCCTTCCTCTCACCGTTAATAAGTAAAAGTACATTTAAAATGAGCCGTGGGCATTATAATAAAAAAACTCAATTTATTATGGAAAAAATGTTAGGGAAATAAAACAAAAGACAAATAAAGGAACAAACTCATTTATACCAAGTTTGTCCTCATTTTCTCATTTCTAAGAGTTTATTGTAAATATGTTTTGTTTTTATGATGATCTATGTAAATGTGATTGTATGTCTTTGGGACCAAGTCTGCAAATTATCTGTTAGCTACAGTATATACGGCCTATGGACATGGCATCGGTTACCTGTAATGCTTTTTGTTCTGTCCCTATCAAATAAACATATCATTTTAATAATAATATTGTGCCAATGAGGTGCTTGCCAGGTCCATGCACCCCAGTTTGAGAAGCACAGATGTAGTCATTCATTGCCATGGACTGGAAGAGCTGGCGGTTTGTAATGTGTCTACAGGGAATAGTGTCTTTATCCTGGGCCGGTCCATTAGTCCACAATAGACGTGTGCAGCAGGACATTACAGCGGAGGTTGAATGTGCGTCCCTGGGTAACAATGTGAAAGATGAGACGAAAATTACCGACAAAATACTCGCCGCTACTTTGTCCGGGGTTTTTTTTTTTTTCCCCTTTGCTCCAAAAGGCACTTATCAATGAGTTATTTGAGAGGAACCAAAATGAATGGGCTCACAAACACAATCTCACGTTGTTTTCATTTTGGCTTTTTATAAATAGGTCCCCAGCTTAAATGCATCACACTCCTCGCTCCTCTGCCAGCTCACTATCGTCATTGTTTGGCTTTTGAAAGTGCTCTGAGTGGAGTATTTGAGCCCCCCCTCGCTCTCCCTCTCTCTCTCCCTCTCTCTCTCTCTCTCTCTCTCTCTCAGCTCTCTTGATGCAGCAGAGAGCACGTGTTTCCAAAAACCACAACTTCCTGATTTGAAAGTCGTAATGCGATTGGTTCAAAGAGGTACATACCCCTGACACACCCACACCCACTTCCTCTTTTGTTTTTTTTCCCAACATAAAAACTGACTGAGGTTGCTGGCCCTGATCTCCTCGTTCCTGGCCTTTTACCGCCGGGTAATTTGTTTTATTTTATTTTAGATGTATTATAAGACAGAGCAGCTACCCGCATATGAAATAATAAATAAAAAAATACATCCAAACTACACGCATTCAGAGACTCAGCGCGTCGTCGGAGACTTTCTGCACTGACTTCCGGACTGCTGCCAACAGTGATTGGCCATGTCGCAACACACATCTCTCTCGCGCCAAAGCGAAGCTGCTCTTTTCATTAGCAACTGGAAGACGCCGCTGAGAACCGTCTGCGTGGCTGATCTCGACAAGTCTGGTGTCACTAAAGAAGTAGGCACAACATTAACAAAAGGCGTGGGTTCAATGATTGTTTCCATTCATATTTAATGAGCAGCTTCGGTTCATTCTTTTGGTACGTTGTCAAAAGGGATTCAATTCATTACTGGTATAGACCTCTGAGAGAGTTGAATTATACAGCTCAGTAATCAAACCAAATCACAACACCCCGTAATGATGTCGGATTAGATTGTATAGCTAACATTAATAAAGTGTCCCAGGCAAAAGAGAAACCTCCCGTAGACAGACAGAATAGATCTACGTCCATTTTAGCGAAGGGGTTGGAAAATATAGAAAACAAATTGCATCACGATTGTATGGCCCTCTTTGAACGATTACAAATTAAATATTCTTTGAGTCTCCTTAGACAACTGTTTAATAAAAGAGTTTGAAATACATATTTTATTTCCAACCCAGGTAGTAACTTGCACTGCTGTAGTCTTTTTTTTTTAAATTGTATGTACAAATACCCTTATTGCACTTAACATACCCTATATTTTTTCACTTTTTAACATGTTTTAAAAAGTCTTGTTGTCCTGTTTGCACATTTCCTGTTTTTTGCACACCCTGAGTGATCATATTGATGCCAAATGTAACATTGTGAGATCAATAAAGTTTTATCTTATCTTACAGAAAAGTATTGTACAAGGTTTGTCTTTTCTTCCTGAAAATGTGAGACAGGCTTCTACTTCACTACTACTACTACTACTTCACTACTACTACTACTACTACTTCACTACTACTACTACTACTACTACTACTTCACTACTACTACTACTACTTCACTACTACTACTACTACTACTACTTGACTACTACTACTACTACTACTACTACTTGACTACTACTACTACTACTTGACTACTACTACTACTACTTGACTACTACTACTACTACTACTACTTGACTACTACTACTACTACTACTACTACTTCACTACTACTACTACTACTTCACTACTACTACTACTACTTCACTACTACTACTACTACTACTACTTGACTACTACTACTACTACTACTTGACTACTACTACTACTACTTGACTACTACTACTACTACTACTACTTGACTACTACTACTACTACTACTACTACTACTTCACTACTACTACTACTACTTCACTACTACTACTACTACTACTGCTTCACTACTACTACTACTACTTCACTACTACTACTACTACTACTACTACTACTACTACTACTACTACTACTACTACTACTACTCTTATTCATTCATTATGATTGGAATGCCTCTTTTCTTGTCCCCTTGTGTATGAACGGTGCTATACAAAAAAACATGCCTTGTCTTCCCTGGAAACACGATTTACACGATTCGTCAAAATCACGGCACCCCAGAGGAGCACGACTTTTCGAAAAGGTTGAATTAATCGATTGAAAGAATGTGATTATTGACCAGCCATATTTTGTTATAAGATTAATTACAACATTATTTGAAATACCAACTTTTTATCTTTTTATACAAAACATTCAGTGGGTATTTTGTCCTTCTCCAATACCCAAGCATGGACCCAGAGAAGGCAGCAGAGAAGAAGGACTTTCCATGTGTAATGTCTAGCCTAAATAAACCGCTTGAAACGTGCCGGACAGAGCACACATAATAAACGGGAAAACCGCTGTGAAATAAAACGCTCGTCTTGTATAGGAAGCTTAGAGATGGAATATCATAGTTTTATACAAAGAGGTTTTTTAGTCCCAAATTGTCAGTGTTTTTGTAGTTGCTGCGGCTTCTCCCATGCACCCTCCCTACAACCACACACTTAGCTCACAGTGGGCACGAGCGCGGACCACCACTGCACCCTCCACCGCACTCGGCCCGATAGCGCGGTCGAATGGCACTCTAAATAAAATGTTAACTGTATACAGAAGCAGAAAATGGAGATTGAAGAGAAATATTGTCTATTGATCTAAATTTAGCAGACTTGAGCTGCGGTTTGAGGAGGTGGCCCGGAGGTTAGCTTAATACCGGATAAAATTATATGAAGGAAATGTAAAACTTGACTTTTTTAGCAAAGCGTAAACATAGCAGCAGCTCTGGGACCGCTAAAGGGGATTTCCAGCGTTGAACTTTCAGCTGTCAAGCATCGAGGCATGACAGCGGGCGAGATTGGAAGCAATAAAAGCGAATGAGCCCCTGTATAAAATATATGAAGGTGTCTGAATTTCTTCTATAAAAATCGTATGAATTGGTATAAAATTTATGTCCGCCGCTGACTTATAATCCCAGTGGTAAAGCCGTGCAAGCCAGGGGAAGTTTGTTTTGCTTTTCCTTCTTCTCAAAGACGTGATATCGAGCGGTGTTCTGAGTTTTGTTGCCAGGTAATGACCTTAATCTTTTTCCGAGAAGATTCTGATCCAAGAGTGGGAATGGTTTTTAGCAGTGTGGGTGTTTAGCAGAGTGGAGTTGACGGTACAGTGGCAGAGGGAGGAAACAGCGCTTGCCAAGTCCTCATTGATTATGTTAATTAAGCAAGCAGAGACGGCTGGCTTTTTGCAGAGCTAAAAGGAAAAAATGAAGCAGAGAGGAGCAGAGAATGGCTTTTAACAGACTTATTTTTGGACGTGGGGAATTGACCCAAAAAATGAAGGGTGATACAGAGTAGCTGCAAGTCACAAAGCCTGGAAGTAGTGTAGTTTGCCCTACTTGAGTGACAAATTTTTTAAGTAAGAGCTTAGTTTTAATGATGATTTGAATGAGGTTGAGAGAGCACTTTGCACTGTGAATCTTCCACTGAGGCTTTGGACAAAATCTGTCACAGGTGGAATAATCAATGGTGGCTACATTTTTGAGGATGAAATTTCCCACACTGTCTAATTATGAATGATATTGCTGAACCAGGACAGCATTTACTGACCCTTTATCAACAACTTGAATCCTCAATGCTAAAGAAGAAGTTGAATTTGTTGACAATTTCTACCATATAAACGAGTAACCAATGTTTTGCTGGCTGAAGGTTTAATACTGAAACATCCCATTTCGAATACTTTTCGCAAGTAAAGTCAAACCTTTGATACTGCAAAGCTTTTTTCGTATACTGCAGGCCATCTAGGTTTAACTATTAATTAGGCCTGTCACAATAATTACTGAATTGACTTATTGTTCAATGGGTGGGATTCCATATGGATTGCAGTACATTCTCTTTACGGGAGTTAAGTGGGTTTTTTTCTCCATTGCATTTGTAAAAGCTGTAAT